CTCTGCTTTTTGTTCATGGTTGGCACGCTACAGTTTGAACTACACTTCTAGTCTGGCATTTTGCCAGTTAATTGGTGATGGAATTTTCTAATGGTGCACAGGTGGTCTATAATTCTAGCTAATTAGGAAGCTGAGATTTAAGGATTGTGGTTCAAAACCAGCTGGGGCAGAAAACCAGAAGTGGTGCTGTGGCTCAAGTGGTAGAATGCCTTGAGCAAAAGAGCTCAGGGACAGCGCTGATGCCTCAAGTTCAAGCTATACTATCCCCCTCCCCCTCCCTTCCCCCCTTTCTGGGCTGGTTCTGGACCTGGGCCTTGATCTTCCCAAGGTTTAGCTCCTTGAGAAGCTAAGATTATAGGCATGAGACACCAGTGCCAGCTTTAATTAGATTGTCTTACATTATAATTAGTGGCAGGTCATTTGTTCAACTTGTGAACTTGTTCTGACTCTGAGGAGCTACCATATTTCCAGAACTCATTTTTCTTTAAACTTTCTGATGTGAATCTCAGTCTTCCTTATTTGTTACTGGTTTATTTATAGCAGCAGAATAAGTGGGAGGGGGGGTAATTTGGAATCAAAGTGTAATTTTCCCAAAGAATTTAAACTTGATCTTGACTGGATGAATGTAAGATGTGCAGCAGACTGACTTTTGCGGTTACAACTTTATCCTGCAACCCATTGTAGTTGGTGATGAATTAGGTTGGTTGTATGTGCTGCTAGGCAGATAGAAAACAGCCTGGGATTAAAATGTTCTAATAGATAATCCCCTTGTAAATAGTGTGATCTGATTAACGTAAACCAGTCCTGTCAAGCTTGCCAGGAGTCAGGCTGGCTGTAGCCATTGAAAGCAGTAGTACATGTGATTGATTCCTATCAGGCACTTTGATATGCCTGGTACATTTAGCTACAAAGGGTGTTTTGTGGTTTATAAGTGTATTCTAGATCCTCTCCAATGTGATCATCTTCCTTTTGGCCAAGTCAAGAGGGTAACCCTCGAGGTGAGCGTATATCTGCTTCTTGACCAGCAGCCAGTGGTCTTGGGTGACCTGTGGGGTCTTCATACTTTCCCTCCCTGTGTGTGTTCTTGACTGACCAGGAAGTATTAGACCTTCTTGTAGTTTCTCAAGCCTTTCTCAGGAAGAATGACGACTCTTGCTCTTTTCTTATCAGTTCACTTTTTACGTTTTCAATGTTTACAACAGAGAGGAGGATAAATCGGGTTTTTCTTTAAAAAGTAGTTTTTGAAACATGTGGCAAACCGGAGCTCATTTTCTTTTAAATACCTCTTTTTAGGTGGTTTTGTGCAGATTTGGTTGGGATCCAAACCACAGAACCTGTACCACAAGTCTTAGGATTTCAACAGAGCACATGGACCCTGAGACCAGGCCTCCGAGCCCACTCTGAGGGACACTTTAGTGCCCGTGCAGGACTCCTGGTGATCTCTTGTGTCCATGGGCAGCATCTGAAGACAGCCCAGGCAGACTGTGTCTCCAGAAACTGTGAGGGAACGTAGAGCTTGGACCTCTAGGCACACAGATGCCCATCCATAGGGGCAATGGGAGGAGTGCCAGGTGATGTGCAGCCCCAGAATGCTTGGGGAAGCCCAGCATGATGGTGCTTGCCTATCTCCCTGCACTCAGGAAGGAGGCTGCACAGGAGGATCCCAAGATCCAGGCCAGCCCAGTCTACAGCTCAGATCTCGTGATCTCAAAAAGCCAAAAACTAAGCAGAGAAAGAAGATAAAATCAAAATGGTAAGATTGGGAAACACCTGTTTCCCACCAAAGGCCAACTGTCTTCTGCTTTTCCCGAGGCTCTGTTTGCATGCTTGATGGCATCACACTGGCACTGATTGCTCTGTCCCGGTCTCTCACCTAGGGTGCAGGGGGGTGCATGCCCCCACTGGGGACGGCCTGCTGGGCCAGGCATGCCCCACCATCTTCCTTGGGTGCCACCCCAGTCCAGGACTCATGGACAAGAGCATCCTTTACTCACTCCAGGGCTGCTCAAGAAGTGGCCTTCTTGAGAGCCCTTCCCCTGCCCTGCACATCCCCGTCCCCTCACTGAGCACTCTTCCCATTCAGGCATGTGACGGCAGTGCCCACCAGAAGTCATATGTGATGTGACTGAACCTTCACCCAGAGTCAGGTAACCTACAGCTTACCTGACCCGATCAGCCAGCTGACCCAGGAGGTCGCCTCCTAGTCCCCTTTCACCTTTGACCTAACAGGCTGAGAACTGCTGCACATTTGTGTTAGTCTTGGTTGTTGCTTGGCCCTGCTCTCTGCTCCCTCCACATTCTAGGGGGAAGGAGTAGACTTTCAGAGGGGTGAGGCAGGCAGAGCCTTGTCATCTGGCCCCTCCCTGCCGCTACTTCCTCCTCCTTGCAACTAGAAATGAGCACTGAGATGGTATCTAGAAAGTGATGACTGGGGAGCAGAGTCTGGATGTGGAAATTGTGTGTGTGCAATAGGCTAGTTCTCTGAACGGTAAGTATGACATAGAACGTGCTTCTTTTTTGGTAACCACAGCTCTGCCTCATCAACTCTCTTGGGGCTCACTTTGTGATGGAACGTGGTTTCTTAGGTGAGGTGGTCAGCCTTGGAGATGGGAATCACTGTGCAGTAGGACTAGTGCTAGCAGGGACCTTGACCTTTTCTGAGAAAACTCCCAGGGTAGCATGAGGGAAACTGGTAAGCAACCCTCATGGGTTCTGGCTGAGGTAGAGGGAGGAATAAAGGCCCCTGGGTGGACCCTGTAGCTGCCTACCCCAGGTGCCCAAGAATCTCCACCCTGGCTGCCATACTGCGCTTAGAGTTCCAGTGGGTCTCCTCCGCATGGCTGTCATGGGGCCTCTACAGAATCCCTGCTGCTCTTCAGAGCACTCTTCTCCAGGTGTCTAAAAGTACTGGGAGGCTGGGCCTCCTCCAGTTGCTGAAACTCAATTGACTTCCAGCTCCTCCTCTCTGACAAAAATAAACCTGTAAGTACACAGCTTAAACAGGAAGCCGATACAGAAAAGCCTTCAACAGCTCCTGGACCAAGGCCCTGGTAGAGCATTCCCCAGGGAGTCCTGCCTGGCAGGGTGGGCAGCCCTAGGGTGCTGCATGGGTTCTGCAGCCAGGTCCTGCCGGGCGCTTTCCTAGCCTGGCTGGAGGTGGTGTGGGCCTGGCCCTTGGTGTGCGTGTGCGTGCGTGCGCGCGTGTGTGTGCGCATGTGTGCACGCACGCGCACGCGCTGGCTCTCGAGGCCCTTCTGGGATATGCCAGTTTTGTGCATATATCTGCTCAAGGTCATCATTAGGTCGCCATCCCTGTGTGCATGGTGGTTTTTCAAGGCTTGTCCAAACTTCCTAGCATCTTTGGGCATCACCAGTTCTGTATAATGTGACTCTGTACATTTTGACGCTTTGACATTTAATGAACTTGAGTGTTTCCTCTTGTGCTGTGGTTAGCTCTGGGCATGTAAGTCTCTGAGGCTTCATGACAGGTAGGCTGCCTGGCTCCTGCTGTGTCCCCACAGGTGCTCCCAGGAAGGCTCCAGTTCGATTCTGCTGGTACTCACCCTCTTCTGGGTTGTCTGTACCACTGCGCTTCCTCATCCTCGTCTTTGGGGGCTTTGCATCCCTGCCATCTAGAGACTGCGTGGAGCAGCACAGGGGAGCTCTGACTCTTTCCCACCTGGCTTAAAAAGTCTCACCTTTCAAAGAAGTGCAGTGAGGCAGGTCCGTCAATGGAAAGTCACTGCAGATAGACCATGGTCTGCTTCGGACCCCCTGGGGGCTTCAGATGGGTGAGGTTTGTACAGCTTTGTCATGGCAGGTGCGCCGTCTCACTTTTTGAACCTGGAGCAGCTCTCCCTTTACATTTGGTTTGCAAGTTGACTGACAACTTTGAGTGTCATCATCACCTCCAGGGACTGCTGGGTAGCAGCTGCTTTCCCATCTCCACAGTGCCCGAGGCCGTGTCTGTTCTGGTCTTCTGAGCCAACACTTTCTACCATTGACTAAGGTTTTCTTGGCAGTGAGTTGGCTGTGATGGTCTGGTGGGCTTTCTGGGAAGCACAGCTGTGGGCCATCTGGCATCTGTGCGAGGCCATTTATGAGCCCTGGGAAGATCAGAGCTTTATCATGAAGCAAGCAAATGAAATCATCTTCCTGGAATTTGTGTCCATTCAGGCTCTGCCTGAGTATGTCTGAACCTCCTCTCCCTAGAGTCCCTCTGGAGGTCACACACTGAAGAGGGTTTTCCTGCTGCTGTTTGCAGGACTGGCTTCCAGAAAGGGTGGGGTTTGTGTGGTGGTGGTGGTGGTGGTGGTGTGTGTGTGTGTGTGTGTGTGTGTGTGTTAGCAGATAGAGATCTATGGGCAGCACCAGGGTTCCTCCAGGCTCAGCCTTGGTGGAGTAGGGGGCTTCCCGGGGTGCAGGGTTGTGTGGTCCCTGAGGAGACTGTGTCTTGTGGCCATGGGCCCACATCGCTAGCACCCCTGAAGCCACTCCCTTTCCCACCCTTCCTCTGCTCCAGCTGTCTCTCCAAATCTGAGTTTTGAAAAGAAAAATGTACTTTTTGGGGTCCTGCCTTGACCAGACTCTGTTCATCTCATGAGTCATTTGACTCCGGGTCTGTGTTGTCATCCTCAGAATTCTACCAAGCTTACCCTGGCTCTGTGTATTTGTAGGTAAGATTTTTTTGAGGTGGATTTTTTTTTAAGGAGGTGGCAGTAGTCAATGCGAGTCTACTTGTTCCCTGAATTGTTTAGAATTGACTTGTTGGGGTTTATCCTAGGTGCTGGCACTTGGAGTTGCTCAACAGTAGGCCCTTCAAGATGTTAGAAAGGAAGAGAGCTGAGGGAAATGTCTGCAGAGCTTGGCTAGGGCTTACTCTCCAAAGTGTTATAGAAAAATAGATTGGCTAAAAGAAATCTCCCCCCTCTCCCCAGAGACTTAGATAGGGATCTGCAGAGTATTGGGGTAGTAAGCCATTTGTGTGTTTCTTTAACCAGGTCGCCATGGCTGTTACTGGCTCCCTTGCTGTCCCCGGCCATCCCCCAGGTCACCTCCCCACCCTGCTGCCTGTGCCCTGAAGGTGTGCACAGGTTCCAGTGGATCAGAAACCTCGTTCCAGAGTTTGGCGTCTCCAGCTCTCATGTCAAAGTGCTTTCTTCCCCTGCAGAGTTCTTCGAGCTCATGAAGGTAAGCTGTCTCTAAAGAACAAAGGGATAAGCTGAGGATTTCCAGGTTGGGTAAGTCATGAACACCCTATGTTTTAGAAACTGCTGAGGCTGTTCAGTTTAGCTTTCAAGTTCTATTTGTTTTTTTTTTTGGTTGGCCATGGGGCTTGAACTCTGGGCCTGGGCGCTGTCCCTCAGCTCTTCAGGTCAAGGTGAGCGCTCTACCACTTGAGCTACAGCGCCACTTCCGGTTTTCTGGTGGTTTATTGGAGATAGGAGTCTCACGGTCTTTCCTGCCCGGGCTGGCTTTGAACCGCGATCCTCAGATCTCAGCCTCTTGAGTAGCTAGGATTACAGGCGTGAGCCACCAGCGCCCGGCAGGTTCTATTTGTTTTCAGGTTCACATGTTGATTTGAACCACTAGTGAAGCTTCTCTGTGTGGCCACCATTAGAGCAGGAAGCAGTGAGGGCTGGGGCCAGACCCTGATTCTTCTGGCCATGCAGATTCTTTGTTCCCCTTAGTTGAATGGACTGGAGAAGAGAGGTTAGTGGGGCGCATCTCCCCTGAAGATGCCTGGGAAGAAGGTTGGGCCCTACCTCTGGAAGCATCTCCAGGCCCAGTGGTGTCTTTTTTTTTTTTTTTTTTGGGTCCGGTTGTGGGGCCTGAACTCTGGGCCTGGGCGCTGTCCCTCAGCTTTTCAGCTCAAGGCTAGCACTCTACCACTTGAGCCACAGCACCACTTCTGGCTTTTTTTTTTATGCTTATGTGGTGCTGAGGAATCAAATCCAGGGCCTCATGCATGCAAGGCAAGCACTCTACCACTGAGCCACCTTCCCTCCCCCCCCCCCCCCCACTTTTTTTTGTCGGACATGGGGCTTGAACTCTGGGCCTGGGCGCTGTCCCTCAGCTCTTCAGCTCAAGGTGAGCGCTCTACCACTTGAGCTACAGCACCACTTCCGGTTTTCTAGTGGTTTATTGGAGATGGGAGTCTTACGGTCTTTCCTGCCTGGTCTGGCTTTGAACCTCGATCCTCAGATCTCAACCTCCTGAGTAGCTAGGATTATAGGTGTGAGCCACCAGTGCCTGTCTTCTTGGTAGATGTGATACTCAGGGAGGTCCACGATGGGATCTGGTGTGTGGAATCTGGTGTATGGGCTGCAGCCTTTGCCCACTCACTGCAGAGTGCTTCAAGATAACTGGGAAGCTCTGAGCTGAGGTCTGCTAGTCTTAGTTCTTGGGCTCTGTTGTGTGTGCCTGCCTTCTCCAGTGATGATGTCAACTTGGGAGTGTGGGGGTCCAGCTTTCCACACATTCCTCAGGTCCACATGCCCCGTCTAGTTGTTTGTGGTTGGGCTGCTAATTGGGATTAAGTTATTCAGCACTAATTAATCTTTAGCAACACAGCCTCTCTGAGTTCATGTTAACAGTGATGCTGGAATGGAGATCTGATGAGGCCAGGCACACAGACATGATGTAGGGAGATTAAGGTAGAGGACCCTCTTGCAGAAAATCAGCTCTGATCCCCTTGAAGACTACCATTTTGTCTCCTTCTGCCCCAGTTTGGCGGTTAGCTTCATTCCTAGTTGGCTTGTTATTCTTGTGGGTATGTACCTCCAGGGTAAGCTCCTTGCTCCCCTTTCCTGAAGCTGCCAAACTGCGTGTCTGTCCTTGGCCTCCTCATGTACCAAGAACCATGCTGAGATATGCTTTGTTCCTGCTTGCTTCTCTTCTTGATTTGAGGAAACAGTTTTTCCAAGGGTGTTTTTTTTTCAGTGTCTTCACTGAGCATGGGTGAAAGATGACTGTCTTTGTGCCTGCCCACTGCCGATGCCAGAGGGGTATGATAGATAGCTGGGCAGAACCCAGGCCCTCTCCTCTGGACTGAGTGGTGGGCAGTTCCTCTGGCTCATGTCACATGGAGTGGCAAGCTTTCTTCCCGGGACAGCTGTGGGGAGAGAGGCCAGCCCTGGCTTCGGCCTGCCTTCTTGCCAGGGCTGCCTTACTACAGTGAGCACTGGTCCTGGGCCTTGGAATCAGGGCTTGGGTGCTGTCCATGAGCATAAAAGTTCAAGGCTAATGTTCTACCACTTAACACACAGTTACATTTCTGGCTTTTTGGTGGTTAGTTGGAGATTAAGTCTCATGGACTTTCCTGCTTGGCTGGCTTCAAACTCTGATTCTCAGATCTCAGCCTTCTGAGTAGTTAGATTTGCAGGTCTGACCCATGGGTACCTGGTTTCCTTCATTCTTCTTAACAGCTGTATTATATTTTGTAGTAAGCTGAGTATTTTAAGATTGTTGATTTTTTTTTTTTTTTTTTGGTCTGTATGGGGCTTGGCCTGGGTGCTGTCTCTCAGCTCTTCAGCTCAAGGGTAGTGCTCTACCATTTAAGCTACAGCATCACTTCTGGTTTTCTGGTGGTTTATTGGAGATAAGAGTTTTATGGACTTTCCTACCTGGGCTGGCTTTGAACGGCGATCCTAAGATCTCAGCCTCTTGAGTAGGATTACAGGCTTGATTGAGCCACCAGCACCCAGCGGATTGTTGATTCTTACTTGATAAGTTACCATATGGTTTGAGTTTATTTTAAAAATATGCACACATGCATATACATTTATCTTTGAGGGATGTATCCATTTTTAAGTTCAACATTTTGGTGGTACTGGGGTTTGAACTGAGGGCCTCATGCTTGCTTGGATGGTGCTCTACCTCTTGAGCTACAACTTGAGCCCTGCTTTTTGCTGGTTATTTGGGAGATGGAGTCTTGTGAATTTTTCTGCCCTTTCTGGCCTCAAACCATCATCCTCTATTGCTCAGCATCCTTAGTAGACAGGGTTACAGATGGGAGCCGCTGGAACTGGCTTAATTAAGATGATTCACATACATTAATTGTACAAGGGGGATTCCATTGTGACAGTTCCTTACATACATACAATGTTTCACATCAACCTCACCTCCTCTATTAGCCTGTTTTATTCTCTCCTCTCCCCTTTATTTTTGTGCCGGCACTAAGGCCTAAACTCAGAGCTAGGGTGGTCTCCCTTTTTAGCTGGTTTCATTGTTCAGTTTTTGTACTTGAATGTTAAGTACTCTGGCCATATTCACCCTCTCCCTTTGCTGATACTTGCCCCTAACAGAAGGTATTTTGCTTTGCTGCCATTTATTTTAGTGTATATTAATTGTACCAAGGGGTTTTGCTGTGATATTTCACACACTTTAAATATTAATTGGTAAGCACATAGGATAGTTCAGCTTACAGTATGATTTACCTCAAATGTCCAAGATTCTGTTTTCTTAGTGAACTATGAAAATTATTGATGTAAACTGGTGCTGGTGGCTCACGCCTATAATCCTAGCTACTGAGAACTAGAGGCTCAGAACTGAGGATCATGGTTGAAAGCCAGCCCAGGCAGGAAATTCAGTGAGACTCTTATCTCCAATAAACCACTTTGAAAACCAGAATTGGGGGCTGGGAAGGTGGCTCAGTGGTAGAGCGCTTGCCTTGCATGCCTGAAGCCCTGGGTTCGATTCTTCAGCACCACATAAGCAAAAAGAAAAAAGCCGGAAGTGGCGTTGTGGCTCAAGTGGTAGAGCACTAGCCTTGAGCTGAAGAGCTGAGGGAAAGTGCCCAGACCCAGAGTTCAGGCCCCACGAACGGACCCCCTCCAAAAAAAACAAAAACAAAACAAAACAAAAAAAAGAAAACCAGAATTGGTGTTATGGCTCAAGTGGTAGACCACTTGCCTTGAGCTGAAATGCTGAGGGACAGTGCTCAGGTCCAGAGTTCAAGCCCTACAACCAAAAAAAAAAAAAAAAAGTCATGTGAACTCTGAATGATTTTTTTTCTTTTTCAGGGGCAGATAAAAGTAGCCAAGAGGAGGGTTGTGATGGCATCTCTCTACCTGGGGACAGGTCCTTTGGAACAGGAGCTGGTAAGGTAGTCCTGGCAGTAGAGTGGACTAGACCCAGGGTATTGCACCAGCACAGGGCGCTTCGTGCCTGTGCACAGGGCGCTTCCTGCCTGCTCTCTCTCCCCTTGTCCCCAGATGTAGGGCCTGTCAGTGTGTGAAGGGGTCGTGGGAGGCCTAATCAGTGTCTTCACCTTGCACAGCACTCTTGGCTGCTTCGTCTGCCAGTCTAGTCTGATAGTGGCTCACAGGCTAAGTTAGCCACTGTCTGCTTTTTGCATGGCCTGTGAGCTGAAAATGACTTCTGTGTTTTCAAATGATTGGAAAAACCAAAGAGGAGAATGCTTGTGACTCATGTAAAGTAATTTGGGATTTACATTTTCATGTCATCTGTTAGGCTTTTTTTTTTTTTTTTGGTTGGTTGTGGGGCTTGAACTCAGGCCTGGGTGCTGTTGCTGAGCTCTTTTGCTCAAGGCTAGCACTCTACCACCTTGAGCCATGGCTCCACCTCTGGTGGTTAATTGGAGTTAAGAGTTTCATGGACTTTCCTGTCTGGGCTGGCTTTGAACCACAACCCTCAGATCTCAAACTCCTAAGTTTGAAAAGTTAGGGTTAAAGGTGTGAACCACTGCCACTGGCCATCCACTAGGTTTTATTGAGCGTAATTACCCATCACGATGTGCTGTCTGGGCTGTGGTCCTGTGACAATAACACAGAGGAGTAATTATGACTCTAAGCACCTCTGTTCAGAAAAGGTTTTCTGACTCCATGCTAAACAAGCTAATCAAATGCAGGTTGGACTGGCCAGCTTGGTTGCCAAATCTGGCATCTGCTGCCAGGTCTCTACGTGGCCTTGTTGGCTTGTGACGCTCGTTACTTTTAGTGAGGCTGGCAGGATATGTCCAGGGTGCTGTCTGTAGCTGCTCAGGCAGCACCTGGGGTCAGGTTAAAGGGAGTCTGATTGAGGCCATTACTTGGTCCTGTCTCTGGGATTGCTCTGCTCAGAGGAAAGGAAGGAAAGAAATAGGGGAAGGCTGGGTAGCCTAAGTGCTCCCCACTTCAGTGCCTGTGGGCACCATCTCCAGGTCACACTATTAGCTGCATGCTTGCGAAGCATGTTTGTGCTCACAGGAGAGGAATGCAATGGCGAAGGGCCAGTTGACAGATTGTATCTTAGATTCATTTGTTCAGCAAATATTTACCAGTACTGTCCATGAGTAGGATGTTGCATGTCTATGAGGATTATGTGTAGAAACATGTGTCTTGGAGGGCGTTTCCAAGAGTGGCCTGAACACTTCCTTCTTTCCCCAGGGCCCAGGCTGGGGAGGGTGTTTGATGGCTGCTTCTGGTGACAGTCACCGAGTTCATCATGTAGAGCTGTCTTAACACTTGACCGGATGCAAATTTCTAGATACTGTCTTTTTAGATGCACCAATGTCTTTTTGCTCTTCTGTTGCTTTGGGTTCGTTGCCTGGCAGGTGGATTGCCTGGAAAATACTCTAGAAAAGTCTCTTCAAGCAAAGCTTCCTTCTGACCTCAAGGTCTCCATTCTCCTGGACTTCACCCGCGGCTCACGAGGTAGGTGTTGTGCATGTCTTCCTCTCCTCTCAGATCCTTGGTTGGATGAGGGTCACTGTTACCTCCCCATCCTCTTTGTCCGGGGTCAGCACACGGCTTGTCTTAGATTACTTCTGCAGCAAATGACTGAAGTCCCACCTAAAGCAACTTAGGGAAAAAAGGAGACTCCACACGAATGTCAAGCCGGGCATTGCTCCCTCTGGCGTTCTGCTGCCTTTCCAAGTTGCTGTGTATGTGTGCCCCTGCAGCAAGGGAGAAACTGTTATTGACCTGTGGAGTGATGTCTAAGAAATCAGGGAGCCCTGGCCAGGAGCTAGAGCCTGGGCGAGAGGCTGAAGGAAGAGGGCTGGGCCCTCCCTTCCCAGCTCCTGCCCAGTCACTGGTCCCTCTGGCCTCTCCTACATGAAGTCTGGCTTCTTGTAGGCCTGAGTTAGGGAGTGTGCCCCCTAGTCCAGTGGGGTAGGTATGCCAGGAATAAGATGTTGGGTGATTTTTTTTTTTTTTAATCGGTCATGGGGCTTGAACTCTGGGCTTGGACGCTGACCCTGAGCTCTTCAGCTCAAGGTGAGTGCTCTACCGCTTAAGCCAATGCGCCACTTCAGGTTTTCTAGTGGTTTTTATTGGAGATAAGACTTTCCTGCCCGGCTGGCTTTGAATTGAGATCCTTAGAACTCAGCCTCCTGAGTAGCTAGGATTACAGGTGTGAGCCACTGGCGCCTGGCTTTGGGTGATTGTGTGGCCTTGTGACCTGCTGAGAGTTTCCTGAAACTGAACTCTGTGTGGATTGTGATTTGGGGCTTGGAGTCTGCAGGATCCTTCTCCTAGTCCTTCTTCCTTTGGGCTTGCTTTATCTCAGGCTCTGTGCCGGGGCCTCTGGTGGCTGAGCCCCATATTCTTAGGGTACTTGTTTATCAGGAAGAAATCTGTTTCCTTGAGAGTCAGGCTGAAGCCCCTAAGTTTATCCCATGTGCTGAGACTAGACTTAAATGAATTGTGTGAATTGTATGCTGAGTGATCTGGCCCAGGCTTGTGGCTTCTCCTGTGGAGCTGGGGTTAAGAGGTTATGGCAGGTTCTCTTCACCCACTGCAGGACGGCCATGCGTGGGTGGGTGGTACCTCCAGGGGAAGACAGATCCCAGATGGTGGAAGCAGCAGGTGTCTGCTCTCCAGAGCTCGGTCCTGCCCTGAGCTGTGGTGAGGGCCATGGGATGAAGCTGCCCTGGGGCCAGTCGGCGTGGCTGGCTGAGATGGCAGCAGGTGGAGCGAGGTTCCTCTCCTGGGCAGGCTCTTCTCTGGCGAGACTCACTGGCTGTCTTCTCCATCCCTATCCTCACCTCCAGGCAGGAAGAACTCCCGCACCATGCTGCTCCCCCTCCTACAGAAGTTTCCAGAGCATGTACGCGTCTCCCTCTTCCATACTCCAAACCTCCGCGGGCTCCTCCGGCTCCTTACCCCCGAGCGCTTCAACGAGACCATCGGCCTCCAGCACATCAAGGTGTACCTCTTTGACAACAACGTCGTCCTGAGTGGGTGAGTCAATGTCCTCTGTCAGGGGTGCCACTCTAGAGCTGTCTGGAGGGGGCCAGGGAGGGGGCTGTGGAGGAAGGAAGGGCAGGTCATCCCTGAAGCCGGGAACTTGTGGTGAGCCAGTTCAGACATTGTGGCCCTCTTCCGCACTGCTGGGCTTTGGGAGCGCAGCCCGCTACTGAGCTCACCTGTGCTGGCCGCTGTGCTATGGTCCCGCTGTGCACCAACATGATTTCCTTGTCACGTGAACCAGTCTGTCTTCTTCACTTCTTGTGTGATAGTGAATAACTGTCAAGAAGAGGCTTAGGAACAAAAGTTGAGCACCAACAGAAAGGTGGGGGAAGGGGAGAGGGCTTCAGTCTGTTTCCTGTTGTCTGGTACCATTTTTTGTTTTTGTTTTTAGTGCTAGTTCTGGGGCTTGAACTCAGGGTCTTGGCACTGTCCCTGAGTTTTTTTTTTTTTGTCGGTCGTGGGGCTTGAACTCTGGGCCTAGGTGCTGTCCCTCAGCTCTTCAGCTCAAGGCGAGCGCTCTACCACTTGAGCTACAGCACCACTTCCGATTTTCTGGTGGTTTATTGGAGATAGGAGTCTCATGGTCTTTCCTGCCCGGGCTGGCTTTGAACCACGATCCTCAGATCTCAGCCTCCTGAGTAGCTAGGATTACAGGCGTGAGCCACCAGCGCCCGGCTTCCCTGAGCTTTTTTTTTCTCAAGTACTATACCACTTGAGCCACAGCTCCACTTCCAGCTTTTAGGTGGATGATTGGAGATACAGGTCTCATGGGCTGGGTGCCGGTGGCTCATGCCTGTAATCCTAGCTACTAAGAAGGCTGAGATCTGAGGATTGCAGTTCCATGCCAACCTAGGCAGGGAAGTTGGGGAGACTCTCATCTCTAGATAACCATTAAAAAACAAAAAACAAAAAACCAGAAGTGGAGCTGTGGCTCTATTGGTGGAGCTGTGGCTCTATTGGTACAGTGCTGCCTTTGGCAGAAAAGCTCACTGGTAGTGCCTAGGCCCCAAGTTCAAGCCATATAGGGCAAGCACATACACATACATACACAAGAGTCTCGTGGTTTTTTTCTGCCTGGGTTGGCTCAGATCTCTGAAGCTAGGGTTACAGATGTGAGCTACTGGCCCTCGGTCTTAGTGCTATGCTTGCCAGTTCTCTGTGCGTGGCCATTGCTTGGCTCTTTTGTGTTGACCTGCACTTGCCTCCCCTCCAAGTTATCCCAAGGCCGTGCTGCTGTGTGCTCTGGCCTGTGCCCTCACTGCCTTTTCCTCCCACAGTGCAAACCTGAGTGACTCCTACTTCACCAACCGCCAGGACCGGTACGTGTTCTTGCAGGACTGTGCGGAGATTGCTGACTTCTTCACCGAGCTGGTGGATGCCGTGGGGGATGTGTCCCTGCAGCTGCAGGGGGATGACACGGTGCAGGTGGTTGACGGGATGGTGCATCCTTACAAAGGTAGGGTCTGGCCAGAAGAGCCTGCTGGCGGTCCTGCCTAAAGGAAGGGGAGGGAGTGGCAGGGCTTTGTCTGGCTTTTGTTTCTCTAGCCAGACACATGTGGCTCCCTGGCTCTTGGTGTGCTCGGCAGGCCCCATGTGCCCAGCAGTTGGCAGGAGCCTGCCTTCTTCCTACAGAAAACAGCCTGCTCTGTGACTGCCCATGTGGGTCTGGTTCTGAAACCCCCTCTCACAGGGGTGGGGGGGTGGGGGGTGGGGCTCTGTGGGGCTCTGTGGGACTCTGTGGGGCTCTGAGGTCTGTTGAAGTCTGTGGCCTCCTGCCTGAATGAAATGGAGAGCTCAGGTGTGCTGCTGAAGGCAGGCAAGCCTGCCACAGAGGTCCTGGGCATTGCATTCCTGTGATTCCTGCCTTTACAGGATGCTGCTGAGCTGCAGCAGCACCCACAGCTTGACAGCAGGAAGAAAGTGTTAAACTTGACCTTGTGAAGAGATAGGACTCCTACTTCTTGGGTACCTAAGATGGAAGCATCTGTGTGGGCCTCTGGGTGGCAGCCCTGCCCTGTGCTAAGGAACTGTGACTGCCCGCCAGGCTGTGATCTGTCCACAGCCTGCTGACCGCCAGTGGTAACTGCTGAGCGTGGTTGAGTCTCTCTTTTCTTTTCTTGTTGATCATGGGGCTTGAACTCTGGGCCTGAGCGCTGCCCCTCAGCTCTTCAGCTCAAGGCTAGCGTTCTGCCACTTGAGCTTCTGGTTTTCTGAGTGGTTTATTGGAGATGAGAGTCTCGTGGACTAGGGGCTGGGAAGGTGGCTCAGTGGTAGAGTGCTTGCCTTGCATGCCTGAGGCCCCTGGGTTCGATTCCTCAGCACCACATAAGCAAAAAGCAGAAGTGGCGCTGTGGCTCAAGTGGTAGAGCGCTAGCCTTGAGCTGAAGAGCTGAGGGGCAGCGCCCAGGCCCAGAGTTCAGGCCCCACGACCGGACCCCCCCCCCCCCCCAAAAAAAAAAAAAAAAAAGGAAAGAGTCTCATGGACATTTCTGCCCGGGCTGGCTTTGAACTGCAATCCTCAGTTCTCAGCCTCCTGAGTAACTAGGATCACAGGCGTGAGCCACTACACCTGGCTCTCTCTTTTTTCTCTTTCTCTTTCTTTTTCGTCTGTCTTGGGGCTTGAACTCAGGACCTAGGCACTGTCCCTGAGCCTCTTTGTGCTCAAAGCTAGCGTTCTTCCACTTGAACCACAGCTCCACTTCTGGTTTTTGAGTGGTTAATTGGAAGTAAGAGGGAACTTTTCTGCCCGGGCTGGCTTTGAACCACAGTCCTCAGATCTCAGCCTCCTGAGTAGCCAGGATTTCAGGTGTGGGCCACCGGCGCCAGCTGCTGGCTGAATTTAATCAATACAGTTCCTATTATCCTGGTTCTGTGTTTTGGTCCACAAAGCCTAAAATACTCTGTGGGCCCACAAGCCCTGGCGCCAGGCCAGGCCAGCCACTACTCAGGAATGGCCATGCTCGGGGAGCAAGAGACAGACAGAGCTCATGGCCTGTCCCCAGAGGCCTCTTGTGTGTCCTCAGCAGGTGACTGTGGTAGATTGTCTTCTCTGCCATACCTTCGGTACCTATTCTATACTTCAGTTAGGGTGGCATACATATGTTATGTATTCATTCATCTATTTGGTGGTACTAGGACTTGAACTGGGGCTTTGTGTCAGTCAAGCACTCTTAGCATTTGGGCCATGTCCCCCAGCCCCCTTTGCTTTGTTTTTCAGATAGGGTGTCAGTTTTTGCCCAGGCTGGCCTAAGACCAAAGTCTTCCTACCTGTTCAGGTTTTTTTTTTTGGTCCAGTCATAGGGCCTGAACCCTGGGCCTGAGCGCTGTCCTTCAGCTAGGTGCGCTATCCCTTGAGCCATAGCACCACTTCCAGCTTTTTTTTTCTTCTGCTTATGTGGTGCTGAGGAATCGAACCCAGGGCCTCATGCATGCAAGGCGAGCGCTCTACCACTGAGCCATCTTCCCAGCCCAGTTTTTTTTTTTTTTTTGGTTGGTCATGGGGCTTGAACTCTGGGTTTGGGCGCTGTCCCTGCACTCTGATTCAGCTCAAGGTGAGCGCTCTACCGCTTGAGCCACAGAGCCACTTCTGGTTTTCTAGTGGTTTATTGGAGATAAGAGTCCCATGGACTTTCCTGCCCGGGCTGGCTTTGAACCACGATCCTCAGATCTCAATCTCCTGAGTAGCTAGGATGACAGGCGTGAGCCACCGGTGCCCGGCCCTGTTCAGTTTTTGTAGCTGGAATTACAGGTTTGGGCTACCATGTCCAGTCCTACTCCATGTTGTTTTTTCAATAAACTTTCTTTTCAAGTTTAACATATATACTGAGCACCTATCACAGGTGCAGCTCAAGTGTCTGTTCACAGCGGATCTCTCCCCCTCAGCTTCCCGCAGTCCCACCCAGGTACCACCTCCCCACGGTAACCACCATCTCCGTAGCTGTCACTCTACATTCTTCTTGACTGTGATAGTCTGTAATTGGGATTACATGTGGACAGGCTCCTCCCTCTCCCCATGGAGGTCCTGTGGGCAGGGCCTTGTCTGGCAGCTGTCCTTGGAGTAGCCTTGTGTTTTGTCTTTGCAGCATTTGCTCGTGCCTGTCCACACCTGTGTGGTCAGCCTGCCAGAAACCTTCCCTCAGTCTTCTGCTATCTCCCTCTAGGTGACCGGGTTGCATACTGCAAGGCAGCCAATAAGCGGGTCATGGATGTGATCCATTCAGCCCGGACCCGCCAGCAGATGCTGCATGCTCAGACCTTCCATGGTGACTCCCTGTTGACCCAGGAGGAGGCTGCAGCTGCCGGGGATCGGAGGCCAGCGCCTGACACCTGGATTTACCCGTTGATCCAGATGAAGCCCTTTGAGATCCAGATCGATGAGATCGTCACCGAGACCCTGTTGACTGAAGCCGAGCGAGGCTCTAGGGTCTTCCTCACCACTGGCTACTTCAATCTGACCCAGGCCTACATGGACCTGGTCCTGGGCACACGAGCTGAATACCAGATTCTGCTGGCCTCCCCAGAGGTGAATGGCTTCTTTGGGGCCAAGGGCGTAGCTGGTGCCATCCCAGCGGCCTACGTGCACATTGAGCGGCAGTTCTACAGCGAGGTGTGCAGCCTGGGGCAGCAGGAGCGGGTCCAGCTGCAGGAGTACTGGCGCAGGGGCTGGACATTTCATGCCAAAGGTATGGGCCAGAGGACTGCCCCAGCACGGCAACAGCTCCCAGGCCCACACTCCTGGCTTCCTTGCAGGGTGTGTGTGTGATTGTGCACTTGAGCATACGTGCCTCCCACACCTGTGGAGCCCTTTGGTTTTCGCTAGGACACATGGCCCTAGGACCTCATGTATAGGCAGTGGTGAGAGCTCTTTGTTCAGTGGATTTAGCTGTGTAAAGTCTTTCTCTCTTATGCACCAGAAACTTACAAACTAAAATGGTTTGGGTGGCTTCTCAAGAAATGTGCTTCTGCCTAGGCACTGGTGGCTCATGCCTCAGTTCTGCCTCCTCAGGAGGCCAAGATCTGAGGATCGCTGTTTGAGGCTACATCAGGCAGAAAACTCCATGAGACTCTTACCTCCAGTTAACCACAAAAAGCCAGAAAAGTGGAGCTGTGTCTCAAGTGGTAAGAGTGCTAACTCGAGTGAAAGAGTTCAGGGACAGCACCTAAGATCCTAAGTTGAAGCCCCAGGATACCTGGGACACACCCATATACACATAGACAGACAGACAGACAGACAGGGACAGCACCTAAGATTCTAAGTTGAAGCCCCAGGATACCTGGGACACACCCATATACACATAGACAGACAGACACACACACACATATATATGTGAGTTATAAATAAAATCACAGTTACTTGGGATTACTATATATATATATATATATCAATATATATATATATATGTCACGTATAGCAATATTTTACATATACATGAAACTTGTAGCATATGTTATATACTTAGAACTATGTATACACATATACATGTGTATATATATTATGGTTATAAACACATATGTAATTATTGCTCAGTCCTTAATAGAAGTCCTGTATGCTTTTTCCTGGTGTGATACTGGGGATGGAGTCCAGAGCCTTCTAATACTAAGCTACACTCCCTAGCCAAGACGAGGCACGTTCTCAGACACCGCTTTTGAGACGTGGACGAAGTGTACTTGAAGCCTTGTGCTGAGTACTGGCCTGCCTTATGGCTCTTGGCCGTGCATGCTCACCTCTGGCGCTGTGAGCACACAGACCGTGCTCAGAGCCTGCCCAGGCACTGCAACAGGTCAGCAGCCTCTGGGAGAGATGTGAAGCTGTGCAGTCTAAGACGGCTCCTCTGGATTCTCTAAGGGTAGTCCCAAGGCCTGTTGTGCTAGCTGCCACGGACCACATGTCTGTGCTGCTGGGACTCAGGGCGTCTTGAATTGTCAGGAGGAACTCTTATCCCCCACCATCCCTGCTCCAAACCAGTGTGTTCAGTGGGGCTATACTAGACCCAGGCCACTCTTGAGCCAGCTCTAGCTTTTTGTGTGAACGTAACCTGGCACTTCAATGACTTATGTGCTGGGGATAGACCCTTGGCTTTGTCCATGCTACTAGGGAAGTGCTGTGACACTGCCCTGCTACATTCCAGACCCATCCTGTTTTGTATGTTTTTTTCTTTTTTTAAATTGGTTGTGGGGGTTGGAACTTGGTTTGGATGCTGTCCTTGAGCTCTTTTGCTCAAGGCTAGCACTCTACCACTCTGAGCCATAGCCACTTCCGATTTTGAGTGGTTCATTGGAGATAAGAGTCTCACAGGGACTTCTCTGCCTGGGCTGGCTTTGAACCACTATCCTCTGTAGCCTCCTGAGCAGTTGGGATTATAGCCGTGAGCCACCGGTGCGTGGCCCTGTTCATATTTTTAAAGACAGAGTTTCAGGCTGCACTCTGGTGGCTCACACCTATAACCCTAGTATTCAGATGGTTGCGATCTTAGGTTTGTGGTTCTAAAGCCAGCCTGGGCCGTCAAATTGAGAGATTATTTTTCAGTTAGCAACAAAAAACCAGAAGTGCTAGTTTGCCTCAAGTGGTATAGTACCAGCCTTGAGTCTAAGCTCCAGTAGTGGGGTGAGGGGTAAGGGCAGGCTTTCACTGTAGCCAGGCTGGCCTAGAATTTGCTCTAGCACAGAATGGTCACAGATTTGCCATCATCCTCCTGAAGCTTCCTGAACACTGGGATTAGAAGCATTCTGTATTCCACCTAAAAAAACGTGGAAATGGTATCTTGTACCTGTAATCCCAGCTCCTTAGTAGGCAGAGATAGGAAAATCATGGTTGGAGGCCAACACAGGCCAAGAGTTAGTGAGGCATTTATCTTCAAGACCAAACTGGCCGTTGTGGTATGTGTCTGTAATCCTAGTTATGTGGGAAATGTAGGTAGCAGGATCATGGTCTGAGACTTGCCTGGGCGAGAGTGAGAACTAATAAAAGGCAGTGGGACCGTGAGCTGGTGGCCACGCCTTGTCATCCTAGCTACTCAGGAGGCTGAGATCTGAGAATTGCAGTTCACATCCAGCCCGGGCAGGAAAGCCCATGAGACTCTCATCTCCAATCATCAGAAAACTGGAATTGGCACTGTGGCTCAAAGTGGTAGAGTGCTAACCTTTTGAGCAAAAAGAGCTCAGGGACAGCACCCAGGCCCTGAGTTCAAGCCCTATAGCCGACCAAACGAAAAAAGAAAAAAGCAGATGGATTGGAAGTATGGCTCAAATGGTAGAGCATCTGCCTGATGCCCCCTCTTAAGAGCTGCAGTTTCATCTTGGGATGATGCAGCTGCTTCTGGCCCATCTGACAGGCTCTACTGCGTGCGACTCCGGACCGGCGGCCTTGTGGTGTGGAAGGCTACTGCCTTTCACTGCGGGGCTCATCTAAGCTGTCATGGGCTGAAGCAGATACATGCTCAGGTGTGTGAGGGCATTAGGTTGGGCGGGGGTGTGTGCATAGTATTTCCAGGCTGGCCTTGTCACTTCTGGGAATGGTAGCAGTGCCTGGGTGGGGTAGAGCGGGAAGAGCTGAGCAGCAGAGAGAAACTTTGAGCTTTGGAGAGGCAACCCAGACCCTGACGGCTGTGTGGCTGGCCAGTTCTTCCTGGGGCCCTCCTGCAGGTGGGGCGGCCCCAGACCTGCCCAGCAGGGCTCGCTCCGAAGCTCTGCCCATAAAGGTGTGGTGACTCCCCACCATGTGGCCCTCTGCAGTGCACCTGGCCTCTTTAGCTGTGTGGTTCTTGTTGCTCGCTGCCTCCCACCTGCCTTGGCTTGGCCTGGAGAAAGGGTGGCTCCTGCCACCTGGCAGTACTGGGCCAATGGGTGGGGAGGTCGGGCAGGACACACACAGAGAATCTGTAGCTGGATCCCAGAGTGCCTCTGAATGTGTGTGGGAGAGGGAACGCAATGGCAGGGGCGTTTGCAGCTAGTTGGATGCTGGGTGCGATTCTTGCCTCAAGTCAGGAATCAGAGGCGCTCTGTTGAGCTAAGAGGCCAGGGCCTTCCCTGCTTGGTGGCTGCAATCCACAGTGGGGTCTAAAGTTATGACCTCTTGTGGCCGAGCCTGCATAGGGGAGGAACAGGCCAGCAGCTGACATAGCAGTTGGGATTGGGAGGGTTGATGGGGCGGACTACTTCCTGCCAGACCCATGCAAGATGCAAGCTGTGGGCCTAGTAGGGCCCCAGAAAAGTCCCATAATGGCTGTGCAGCCAGGACCCTGATTCACTTTCCCACTCTTGAAGGGCAGGTTGTGGCTGATCTTGGGTCCCCTGCTCCTGAAGCCCCCAGGCAGAGGAGAGTGAGCCAGGACACTGGCTTCAAACTTCCAAAATCCTAACAGCATCCCATCTCCCCAGGGTGCTGACAGCAAGAGTCTTGGAAGATTATGAGTTGAGCTTGTGGGTGGCCCTGGGAGGGTGGCTTTGGTTTGGTCCCTGCCCTCAGAAAGCCCACATGCAAGGTGGGAGATAGCATCACCAAACAGGTGATAGCTGCTGGCAGTAAATTCACACGCTACAGTCTAGTATCATCCGTCAAACATTGCTGGGCAGCTGGGCCAGAGTGCACAATAGGAGAATCAAACATTCTAGGCCACCTTGAGACCCCGTTGCTGGCGTCGTGTAGCGAGCAGTTGCTGGACCGACTCTGTGTGACTACTTGCTGGGCAGTGTTTATTCTGCCCAGCAGCCTGAGTCGAGGGAGGCATTACCTCACTTGTATTCTTTGCTGGTTTCCTAATAGACATCAATTTGCATAGTAGATTTTAATAGATTGGGCTGTTTGAAAAACCAGAGGTGCCTTCCGCGATTTGAAGGGATGCCCTGGAGACTAATTTTGCGATGTGGGTTATATGCTTAGTTTTTGAGACTTTTGCAAAGACTGCCTTCTCTGTGAGTGTGATGTGGTGTAGAGGTTACCAGACATGGGATCTAGATAGTACCAGTTCAGATTTACCTGGGATGTGACAGAGGGACCTGGTTCAGCTCCCTTCCTGTAGATGCAGGCAGGGCAGTGTCTTGTCTGGAGAAAGTGGCAGCGGGTGGCCTGGTGTTTTAAAATGGGCAGCAGTGCCTAGCGGAAGCCCCTTGGAGGATCAGCTCTGTGAACAGGTGGTAGAGAGTCTTGGACCCCTTGGTTCACTGTCTGGTCCTGTTAACCTGGGCACATGCTTCTTGACTTACAGTGTTCTGATGAACCCACTGTAAGTTGAAGAAGAAGGGGTATGTTGCAAATGGGTTTCATCCAACCTCCTGACCATCCTAGCTTAGCTACACACTGTATAGCGTGCTGGTGGTTGTCCCCTTCCTCACAGAGCTGCCTCACTGTACTGTGTGGCATTGCATGAAGGTTCGACTGGACATTGTTAGCCGGGAAGAGATCCAGATTCAAAACTTTGAAGTATGAAGTCAGACACCTGTAGCTCACGCCTGTAATTCTACCTGTTCAGGAGGCTGAGATCTGAGGACAGTAGTTTAAAGCCAGCCCAGGCAGAAGAGTCTATGAGACTAATCTCCAATTAACCCTCAAAAAGCTGGAAAGTGGACTTGTGGCTCAAGTGGTAGAGAGCAAATGCCTTGAGTAAAAAACTAAGGGACAATATCTAGGCCCTCAGTTCAAGCCCCAGAACCAGCACAGAAACAAAAGCCTAAAACAAAAACTTGG